GAGATTTCTGCTATAGGGCATGTGTGCTTGCTGGAGAGACAGAGAGAGAGAAAGTAAGAAGTCATCCCCAGAGGGTATGACTACACTGCAACCCCTTCTCTGTTTCTCCTCTCAGTATTTTGGGTATGCACACACATGTGCCCAGCATGCATTTTAAGCTGTTGGGTCCAGGACTTGAACTGCAGTCAACCACATGGGGGTCCAGCAATGTAAACATTACGCAATCTGCTGGTCCCTGTAGTGGTTTCTTGAAGTATGTCTCTTCTGCCCTTCCCAGACACGTCATCTCGGAATTGGAACACCTGACCTTTGTCAACACGGATGTGGGCCGCTGCCGGGCATGGCTTCGACTGGCCCTCAATGATGGCCTGATGGAGTGCTACCTGAAGCTGCTCCTGCAGGAGCAGGCCCGACTGTGCGAGTACTATCAGCCCACAGCCCTGCTCCGAGATGCCGAGGAGGGCGAGTTCCTCCTTAGCTTCCTGCAAGGGCTGACGTCTTTGTCCTTTGAACTCTCCTACAAGTCTGCCATCTTAAATGAATGGACGCTCACCCCTCTGGCCCTCTCTGGACTTTGCCCGCTCTCAGAACTCGACCCCCTTGCTACGCTTGGTGCAGAGCTACAGCGGAAGGAGTCTCTGGATTCAATATCCCACTCCTCAGGTTCAGAGGACATCGAAGTCCAACACTCAGGCCACAAGATCCGGCGGAACAGGAAGCTCACTGCTTCCACCCTCAGCCTGGACACAGCCAGTTCATCTCAGCTGTCCTGCAGCCTGAACTCTGACAGCTGCCTGCTCCAAGAGAATGGCTCCAAGAGTCCAGACCACCCTGAGGAGCCCATGTCCTACGACTCAGATCTGGGCATCGCCAATGCTGATGAATCAGACCGATCTCTGCAAGAGTAAGTGCTCCGCCCACCCCTTCTCCCTTCTTTCTCTCTTCTCTCCCACCCTTCTCTTCCTCCCTTCCTCCCTAGGTCATGTGATTGTTTGCCACTGAACTCTATTAGGGCATGAAGTCAGGAGAGTCATTGTCTTGAGGGACTGGCATTGCTGGGACTACAATGGAGGCTACATGGGCATAGTGGGGAGAATGAATTCAGAAAGGATCAGCACTGGTTGACCTTTCGTGAGTCTCCTGAGGCTCAGTGTAAATTGTTATCCTCTCCATCCATAAGGAAGGGAACTAATAGTTCAGAGCATAATAACAACTTCCAGCATATATAAGAAAGCATACCCCGAAAGTGTGCAACCTCGCAAGAGGCCTTGTGAGGGATGCAACAGCTGAATGAAGCATGGAGAAGGTGGTAGATACACAGGACAAGCTTGTATGTGAGCAGACTAACTTGACTGGAGGGGCAGCTGGGGCAGGGTCTTCTTCACATAACCTTTGTAAAAATTAATTTTTGAATAGATCGTCTATATTTTTTGAAAATTCTTTTATTTAACTTTATTTATTTTTTTATTTGACCAAGATGGGCAGAGTGAGAGACAGAGAAAGAAAGCCGTCAGGTCTGGGACTCAAACTGCAGTTGGTCACGTGGGAGTCCAGCACCCTTAACCTGCCAGCCCCATAGACAATCTCTTTTTATGGTTAAAGATCATTTGAAACATTTACAAGGAAAAGTCTTTCCCATCCCTATTTCCCATCCACTCTGGTTGTCCCTCTCATCCCTGTGACATAATTTCTTCCATATTTTTTCAGAGTTTCTAAAGGTACCTATAATAAGTATGGATATATAGATTTTAACATTTTTCTCCTATTATTCTCTCTCTTTTCCACAAAAGTAGTGTATGTGCACTGTTCTGTACCTTGTTTTAAAGATCTTTTTATATCACAGCTTCTTTATTCCTTTTCTTAATTGCATTTTTTTTAAAACCAGGCCACTTTAATGTTTTGTACAATTTAATAAATAATCTTCTGATGACTGTAGACATGTAAGACCAGCTATATTCAGGAACATCAGTCATGATGACTTTCCAGATTGGTGTATCATTTTCAAAAATTACAAGGAGTTACTTGTATGCAACTGCTATCAAACCAGTAAGACAGCATTTATGCATCCATCATTTTCACGATTGTTAGTAACTTGGGCATATGTCCCCCAAATAACCTTGCCTCCTTGTGTCACAAGGCCCAACTCGCTCACGTTCACCTCAATAACGGTACCTTTGGTGATAACACCCAAAGTTGTATATAGTGGGGATGAAGGATTCTTCTTTACACCAAGTATTGGCAGGCAAAAAGGTGACTTTCAGTTCAGAATGTGTTATGTGGACCTTTTTGAAACGTAAACCCATTGGCCTAATGAATCTTTCATATTTAGGTGGTTTTCTGGTAAAACCATTGCCAACAAAGCAGACTTTTGTAACCATCCTCTTCCATGCCTTCTTCTTTCTCTTTGCTGTTCGAATAACCTTTAATACTTTTGTTTCTCCCTGGGCTTGAACTTTGGGTAGAGGGACTTCCCATTTTCCCGCTTTCTCTTTCCGTTTTTGTTTAATCATATCAGAAAGTACTTTAGATTAGGACTGTCCTTCTCTGTCCAACAGATAGGCAGGTACTGCTCCTTCTGGAGTCTTCTCATCATTCTTTTGTTTGGTGTTCCTCTTTTCATGCATATATAGATAGTCTTTTTTTTTTTTTTTGGAGAGATTTTCACTGTAGGGCGCGTGCGCTCGCCAGACAGACAGAGAGAGACATAGAGACAGAAAGTGAGAAATCACACCCTCCCCAGGGGGGATGGCCACGCCGCAATCCCTTCTCCTCCATTCTCCTCTCGGGATCTTGGGCACGCACGCACACGCGCCCGATATAGATAGTCTTTTTCATTTGTATTTTCTCCCAGCATGGTGCTGTGTATAGTAGAGCTTAGCCTTCAGACCAATCATCTTTTCTGCCTTCTTTGAAGTTCATGAGCCTCCCAACTTTCCTTCTTTTTGTCTCATGGTAATCCAGACAGCATCCACAGCATTTACAATGTAATTCAATATATTTGTTTTGTGGCATGGTGACGGCTGCAGAGTAGCCGGGAGCAGCCTCCCAGATGCAAAGAAGTTGTCAACTTTCAGGTCTCAAGAGACCAACAGCGGAGCCGATGCAGTCCGGAATGGGAAAAGCTCTATTGGATATTGTTCCTTTATATGGATGTACCTTAGTTTACTTTATCAGCCGTCTATTATATGCACATTGAAGTTCAGAGTTTCCATAAATAACCTTGTGTATGTGATCTTTTTGTTCTATAGGAGTATCTCTGTTCAGTAAAGTCCCAGAAGCAAGATAACTAAGCCAAAGAATAAAGTAATCTGTCATTTTCACAGATACTGCCTGTTTACAGTCAGTCAGGAATGTATTTACATTCCATCGAGAAATCTGTCTTCTCGGTCTTGGCAACAGAAGGTATCAAACATTGGAATATTTGCTCATCTGATATTATTAAGAGCTGCCTTCAGCTAGACTCACGTTCCGCTAGCCTGTGGTTAGGACCTTCTTTTCTCCTCCTAATGCCACTGCTTCGGCTCAGGTCCTTCCGAGTTCCCACCTGGCATGGGAATTAGCTCCAAGACTGAGTGGTGTTGGAAATTAGCTCCAAGACTGAGTGCTGTTACAAGCTGGGCTTGGAGCAGACCTGATCTCTGATCCTGTTCCACCACAAATATGTAATAATTCAGTAATAATCAGGCAAATTCCTAACTCTTTCCAAATCTCTGTTTCTTATCTTCAAAATGAAGATTCTCTCACGGAGCTGTTAAGAATAAAACCAGACACTCTTAGTGAGTTGCACACATGAGACTGTCTGGCAGGTCCCAGAAACAGCTTCTGAGCACTGCATACACTGTGGAGCTTTCAGATGTCTAACAGAGGAATTCGCGTAGAAACACAGCCCCTGCCCTCGGAGATGGGTGGACTCGGGGCAGGGCAGCCTCTCACCTCTCTTAGCCCTTCGTGCACCTCGGCCTCCTCCACAGACCAGCCAGCCCTCTCTTTGTCATATGCCTTGCCTTTATCTCTCATGAGTCTTGTGAGTGGAAAATTCCAGCTGAAGGTCTTTGAATCAGTAACCATCTAGCCTCCGTGGGAAGCATTGTTGGGTTTTATGAGGGAACTTAAGGGACAAGGGTTAGGCCAGATAGGCAAACACTGGGCAATGATGTGAGGAACTGGCCAACTTCTAACATGCAGATGCGCAAATACGTGTCCGGCACCATCGTTCTTGGGGCCTTGAAGTTAGACTCTGAGCATCCACAGATACCAGCATTTCTTAGAGTGTATATAAGTTGTTATTTTACTGCTTAAATATATATTTATAACTTAAAATTAAGCATAAATACCTTGTGCTTATCGTTACAAGTATAAAATTTAAATATCTACAAATTAAACATAAAGAAAAGTGCAAAATACTTAATGTTCAAAATAAAATGTATCAGTGTAATTTAAGGGATTCTGTTTTGCAAAAACCTAATTGTGATTTGCCTTAAAAATAGAGAACTGATGGTCCTGAGGAGCTTCTTTCCCATTCATTGGGTCTGTATTGTAGTAATCCCTGAGGATGGGGGCATAGGTGCAGTCTAATGGTTAGGAACCAAATGGCCTGAGTCTTCCATTTAACAGCTTTGCAACCTGGGACATGTTACTCTACTTTTTAAAATTTGGATGTCCCCATCTATAAAACAAGAATAAGAACTCAAGGGAATGCTGGTAGGGTTAAATGAATAAAGATAGCTAAAATGCTCAGAACATAAACCCTCCCCCCATTTCTCTCTGACCAACACACATGCCCTCTAGCAAAATAAATAAAATACAAATTAATTTTGCTGCAAAAATATTTTAAATTCATGAGGGAACTTAAGGGACAAGGGTTAGGCCAGATAGGCAAACACTGGGCAATGATGTGAGGAACTGGCCAACTTCTAACATGCAGATGCGCAAATACGTGTCCGGCACCATCGTTCTTGGGGCCTTGAAGTTAGACTCTGAGCATCCACAGATACCAGCATTTCTTAGAGTGTATATAAGTTGTTATTTTACTGCTTAAATATATATTTATAACTTAAAATTAAGCATAAATACCTTGTGCTTATCGTTACAAGTATAAAATTTAAATATCTACAAATTAAACATAAAGAAAAGTGCAAAATACTTAATGTTCAAAATAAAATGTATCAGTGTAATTTAAGGGATTCTGTTTTGCAAAAACCTAATTGTGATTTGCCTTAAAAATAGAGAACTGATGGTCCTGAGGAGCTTCTTTCCCATTCATTGGGTCTGTATTGTAGTAATCCCTGAGGATGGGGGCATAGGTGCAGTCTAATGGTTAGGAACCAAATGGCCTGAGTCTTCCATTTAACAGCTTTGCAACCTGGGACATGTTACTCTACTTTTTAAAATTTGGATGTCCCCATCTATAAAACAAGAATAAGAACTCAAGGGAATGCTGGTAGGGTTAAATGAATAAAGATAGCTAAAATGCTCAGAACATAAACCCTCCCCCCATTTCTCTCTGACCAACACACATGCCCTCTAGCAAAATAAATAAAATACAAATTAATTTTGGTGCAAAAATATTTTAAATTCATGCATAGTTTTTTCATAACAGGCATTTTTCATAAACTTGTCAATGACCCTTATACTTTCCATCATGTTCATACAGGGGCGAAATTGCATAACAATGCATTTCTCAACCATATCCCTGTCGTTAAGCAACCCGTGACTGTGTTTATTTTGTGTTGGACTCTCTACTAAGCATTTTGCTTATATTATCTCATTTAATCTTTATCACATGTTATTATCTCATTTCATCTTTATCACATGTTTTACAGATGAGGGAATTGAAGTCTATAAACTTTAAGAACCTGTTGCGGGGCACACAGTGGTGTGCCTCCAGAGGCCAAGTGGACTTCGGGGCCACTGCTCTCAATCACTTACACACCACCTCCCAGATGCCCACGGGGAACTGGGACCTCATAGGAGACATGTATCAAAAACCTACCTCCCGGGACCAGCAGTTAGCATAATGGTTATGTCGCTGGACTCCCATGTAGTTGACTGCGGTACGCATCCCGGACCCGGTGGCTTAAAACCCACGCCAGGCGCGTGTGTATGCGTGCCCAAGATCCCAAGAAGAGAATGGAGGAGAAGGGATTGCGGCGTGGCCATCCCCCCTGGGGGGGGGGTGTGATTTCTCGCTTTCTGTCTCTCTGTCTGTCTGGCAAGCGCACACGCCCTATGGCAAAAACCTCTCAAAAGAAAAAAAAAAACCTACCTCCCTAGTTTATTTTGGATGGTGGTCCCATTCTGTCACAGTGGTTTGAACACACATAATTGGTTAGCAAAGTTTTTTCTTTTTCTGCCTGTGGAAACCATGCTTTCATTCCCAGAACTCAGCATTGCCGAGTCCCTGTGAGTTGCTCTGTTGGATTTTCATTGGTGAAACCTCAGAGAAAGAACCAGTACTTGCCTGCCTGCCCTCATGACTATTCCACAAACAGCTTTTCACCTTTCTTTGATTAGTCACCTATGTTATAAATCGAGATAGGGGGCTGGACTCCATGACTAACTTCGGTTCGGGTCCTGGTTCTGGCACCTTGCTTTCTCACTTTCCCTTTCTCTCCCTCTCTGTCTCCCTCTGGCCAGATTGAGAAATAAATAATAATAATAAATGAAATAAATAATTCTCTAAAAAAGTAAATAAATAAAATTGAGAGAGGAGTCACATACTACAAAATTTGTCATTTTCAAGTATATAATTCAATGATATCTGGTATATTCACAAATTTGTGCATCACTACTATCTAATTCAAGAACATTTTCATTGCCCTATAAGGAAACCCCCTACCATTAACTCTAGATAAAATGCTTAGTAGAGAGTTATGGATTTGCCTATCCTGAGCTTTTCATACAAATGGAATCATATACCATGTGGCTTTTGTGACTGGCTTCTTCTACTTAGGTTTTTAAGGTCCATCATATTATAGCTTATATCTTGGTTGATTGAATTTCATTGTGCGAATATACCACAATTTGTTTATCCACTCATCAGATAGTAGACATTTTTTCTCACTATTTGGGTATTATAAGTAATGTGACTATGAACATTCATGGACAAGATTTTGGGTGTACATATGTTTTCCCAGACTAGATGAGATTGGGTGCCTGAATAGGACCTATACTTGTAATTCTCTTAGGTATACACCCAGGGCTAAAACTGCTGGGCCATATGTAACTCTTTTTTTAATTCTTGAGGAACTGCCAAACTCTTCCACAGCAGCTTCGCCATTTGACATTTCTGCAACTAATGTGTATGAGTGTTAATTTCTCATCTTTGCCAACACTTGTTATTCTCTGTCTTGTTGAGCATAGCCATCCTAGTGGGTATAAAGTAATATTTCATTGTGGTTTTGGCTTACATCTTATTGGCTATTAGTATCTTCTTTGGCAGAATGTCTATCATATCCTTTGCCCATTTTGAAATGTGGTTCTCTTTTTCTTATTAAACTATAAGAATTCTTCATATATCCTGGATACTAGGCCCTGAAATATGATTTATGAATATTTCCCCCCATTCTTTGAGTTCTCTTGTCACTTTACTGGTAATATCCTTTGAAGCACAAATGTTTTAAATTTTTTAATTTTTTTTTTTAATTTAGAGAGATTTTTGCTATAGAATGTGTGCATTAGCTAGAGAGGAAGAGAGGCAGAAAGCGAGAAATCACCCCTCGGGGGGATGGCCAAACCACAGTCCCTTCTCCTCCATTCTCCTCTCAGGATTTTGGGCACACACACACACATACCCAGCATGAATTTTAAGCCACCATGGCAGGGACTCAAACCATGGTTGACTAAATGGGAGTCCACCAACGTAACTACTATGCCATTAGCCAATCCCAAAGTTTTTAGGTTATTTTTTTTTAGAATTTTATTTACCTTTATTTTTTATTATTATTATTAAAATTTGACCAGAGAGAGAGTGACAGAGCAAGAGAGGGAAAGCAAGAAAGCCACCAGGTCCGGGACTCAAACCACAGTTGGCCATGTGGGAGTCCAACACCTTTAACTACCATGCCACCTGCTGGCCTCCCCAAAAGTTTTTAATTTTGATGAAGCCCTATTTACTTATTTTTATTTATTGTTTATAGTTTGTATATTATCTCTAAGAAACCATTGTCTAATCCAAAGACATGAAATTTATACATGTATTTCTTTCTAAGAGTTTTATGGTTTTAGGTTTTGTTTTTTTTTAAGAATTATTTAATGTTATTTATTTATTTTAATTCGACTAAAGAGAGACAGAGAGAGAAAGAAAGTGAGCTGCCAGGTCCAGGACTCAAACCACAGTTGGCCTTGTGAGAGTCCAGTGCCCTTAACTGCCACGCCATCTGCCGGCCCCTAGTTTTAAGTTCTTACAGGTAGGTTGTCAATCTATTTTGAATTAATTGTGTACATATGGTATAAGGTAGTGGTCCAGCTTTATTATTTGGCATGTAATTGCCCTTTATTCCCAGCAGCATTTGTTGAAAACACTATTATTTTCCCCATTGAAATGGCTTGGTGTCCATGTTAAAATCAGTGACTCAGAAATGTGTGGAGTGGTCAGCAGGTCTCGACTATACTGCCTCGACATGTTGTTTAGCGTTGTGGTGGTCTACGTAAGAGTAGAACTCATCGGGAAGACAATCAAGTGAGCAGCTCGAGTTCTAAAGTCCTCGTTTCCAAAAACCCAGATCAAGGGGAGCTTAACGTGTCTTCTGGAGATAGTCTAAGCCATTAGGGCAGATCTATGCAGTGTTTTGGGATCCAAACAGCTTTGTTGCCATCCAAACCTGCATTTCTCCATGACATATCCAGAGTCAGCAAATGAGTTTACTTTACAAATGGAATTTGACTTCCAGAAGCCTTAGAAGAGGGAGGAGCAGTCACTAGCCAGTGCACATTCCAGAAGCCCAGAAGTATGTTTCTATGCAGTGTGTGTACAAAAGGAAGAAATGTTGACTTTCAGGACCAGCAGATGGCAAAATTGTTATGTCACTGGACTACTATGTAGTTGACCATGGTTTGAGTCCTGAACCTGGCGGCTTAAAACTAATACCGGGTGTATGTACGTGAATATCCAAAATCCTGAGGAGAATGAAGAAGAAGGGATTGTGACATGGCTAAACTACCCCCCCACACACACCTGGGGGAGTGATTTCTCACTTTCTGTCTCTCTGGTGAACATATGAACCCTACAGCAAAAATCTCTCTGGAAAAAAAAGAAAGAAAGAGAGAAAAAGAGAGAGAGAAAGAGAAAAAGAAAGATGTTGGCTTTCTGTGGCCCTAGGAGGCATCACTAAGTGGGTAGGGAATGCCAGTCCCACTGAGACTGAGCAAATAGGTGTGCACACCCCATGTATATTCTTCGCTGACTCCATACTCAGTTGGAGACCAACTTTGGGGACCAACCTTGGCACCTCACCTCAGCCCTGCTGCCCCAGTCACTGTCCCAGGGACAAAGTGTCATCACTTAGGAAACCAGGTTAGCTTTTGCTTCACCTATTCCCTGCCCCAGGGAGCAGAGTCTTGGTGCCTCCACTGTTTGTGCCGTTGGGAGCCTCTCTCTGAGACTGTTCATGGAGGCTCTCCTGCAGGCAGTGTTGGGGAAATGATTGCCTTCACAGCCATGTGTTGGCTGAGCAAACTCGAAGTGCACACTAGCCCTTTTAGAACGGCAGTCAGTTCCCATTCGCGTCAAGTTCTCTTTCTCTACTTTTGAGTCTTTGGTAGGAGATCCTGAGCCCCACAGCTTACCTCTCCAACCATTCTACCTAAGGCCTGGCCAGAAAGAATGTTACAGGAGTGAGAGAAAAGGGCTGTGTGAGGGAGGCAGGAAGTGCAGTGGATAAGTGAGAGGGTTGTGTGTATGTGTTTGTTTTAAATCATAAAATAGCAGCCTTCCATTCTTAGCACTGCCCCTTAGCCTTGGGCATTGTAGCTAACAACCTGTCACACAGGTTTCTCTGCTTACAAACTTTTAGGGTGTTGTCAGAATTCAGCAAAGCCCAAGTAAACTCTGTGCCAACCAACGGACTAAGCCGAAAGACAGAGATTTCCACACTCCAGGCCTCGCCGTTTCTCCAAGGTCCCGACACCAGCACATGCCTGCACTTCGAAGCGCCTACAGAGCCCCTTCCTGCCCAGGCATCCCCTGTGGCTACAGATGGTGGCCACAAGCAGGTGCCACTTTCCCAGGCACCTGGCACTGTGGACTTGCAGCATCTGGGCACTATCCAAGCTGTCCCTGCAGGGAGTGCTTCAGGCCAGCAACCTACCACTGTGAAAGAGATGCCCAGAGCAGACGGCCAAGGGAGAGACCAGCAGAATGCCCCAGAGGATGCCAGAGGTGGGCTGAAGCTTGCGATTTCCTCACCCACCAGCCCGGTGAGTGGTGCACGTTGTCTGGGGGAGGTCTTGGGGAAATGACTCAGAGCTGATACACGTTCACCCGCTGGTGGTCTCTGCCTTCTCCACATCAGCCTCCCTCCTCCTGCATGGTGACAGCGTTAATAGCACTGTAATGATGGAGCTGAGGGCTGTTGTGTGTGTGGTGGATTATCAGCCATGCACTGTGCTGCTGATCGCTTCCACCATGACTGGCTTCCTGTCATCCTCACACTGGCCCTGGGAAGAGGGTGGTTCTCATCTGCCTGCACTCTGAGCTCCTGACCGCTACCACTGACCAGCAGAAGGCCCTGGGCAAACCATTTCATCTCTCTGGGCCTTGGTTTCCTCCTTCGTACTTGGCATTATTAAATTCACATTAGTGTAAAATGCCAGGCACATCAACCAGGGGCTTTTTGTTGTTTCTGGATTTTTTTTGTTTGTTTGTTTTGTTTTTGCCATAGGGCGCATGCGCTTGCCAGAGAGACAGTGAGAGGGACAGAAGGTGAGAAATCAGCCCCAGAGGAGTGGAAAAATCTCTCTGGAAAAAAAAGAAAGAAAGAGAGAAAAAGAGAGAGAGAAAGAGAAAAAGAAAGATGTTGGCTTTCTGTGGCCCTAGGAGGCATCACTAAGTGGGTAGGGAATGCCAGTCCCACTGAGACTGAGCAAATAGGTGTGCACACCCCATGTATATTCTTCGCTGACTCCATACTCAGTTGGAGACCAACTTTGGGGACCAACCTTGGCACCTCACCTCAGCCCTGCTGCCCCAGTCACTGTCCCAGGGACAAAGTGTCATCACTTAGGAAACCAGGTTAGCTTTTGCTTCACCTATTCCCTGCCCCAGGGAGCAGAGTCTTGGTGCCTCCACTGTTTGTGCCGTTGGGAGCCTCTCTCTGAGACTGTTCATGGAGGCTCTCCTGCAGGCAGTGTTGGGGAAATGATTGCCTTCACAGCCATGTGTTGGCTGAGCAAACTCGAAGTGCACACTAGCCCTTTTAGAACGGCAGTCAGTTCCCATTCGCGTCAAGTTCTCTTTCTCTACTTTTGAGTCTTTGGTAGGAGATCCTGAGCCCCACAGCTTACCTCTCCAACCATTCTACCTAAGGCCTGGCCAGAAAGAATGTTACAGGAGTGAGAGAAAAGGGCTGTGTGAGGGAGGCAGGAAGTGCAGTGGATAAGTGAGAGGGTTGTGTGTATGTGTTTGTTTTAAATCATAAAATAGCAGCCTTCCATTCTTAGCACTGCCCCTTAGCCTTGGGCATTGTAGCTAACAACCTGTCACACAGGTTTCTCTGCTTACAAACTTTTAGGGTGTTGTCAGAATTCAGCAAAGCCCAAGTAAACTCTGTGCCAACCAACGGACTAAGCCGAAAGACAGAGATTTCCACACTCCAGGCCTCGCCGTTTCTCCAAGGTCCCGACACCAGCACATGCCTGCACTTCGAAGCGCCTACAGAGCCCCTTCCTGCCCAGGCATCCCCTGTGGCTACAGATGGTGGCCACAAGCAGGTGCCACTTTCCCAGGCACCTGGCACTGTGGACTTGCAGCATCTGGGCACTATCCAAGCTGTCCCTGCAGGGAGTGCTTCAGGCCAGCAACCTACCACTGTGAAAGAGATGCCCAGAGCAGACGGCCAAGGGAGAGACCAGCAGAATGCCCCAGAGGATGCCAGAGGTGGGCTGAAGCTTGCGATTTCCTCACCCACCAGCCCGGTGAGTGGTGCACGTTGTCTGGGGGAGGTCTTGGGGAAATGACTCAGAGCTGATACACGTTCACCCGCTGGTGGTCTCTGCCTTCTCCACACCAGCCTCCCTCCTCCTGCATGGTGACAGCGTTAATAGCACTGTAATGATGGAGCTGAGGGCTGTTGTGTGTGTGGTGGATTATCAGCCATGCACTGTGCTGCTGATCGCTTCCACCATGACTGGCTTCCTGTCATCCTCACACTGGCCCTGGGAAGAGGGTGGTTCTCATCTGCCTGCACTCTGAGCTCCTGACCGCTACCACTGACCAGCAGAAGGCCCTGGGCAAACCATTTCATCTCTCTGGGCCTTGGTTTCCTCCTTCGTACTTGGCATTATTAAATTCACATTAGTGTAAAATGCCAGGCACATCAACCAGGGGCTTTTTGTTGTTTCTGGATTTTTTTTGTTTGTTTGTTTTGTTTTTGCCATAGGGCGCATGCGCTTGCCAGAGAGACAGTGAGAGGGACAGAAGGTGAGAAATCAGCCCCAGAGGAGTGGCCATGCTGCACTGTCCACTGCACTGTCCAACATGGTAGGCACATGTGGCTGCTGAACACTTAAAATGTGACCAGGCCAAACTGAGATGTGCTCGTAAAATAAGCACTGGGTTTTAACAGGGTATAAAAAACCCCAGCAAAATCTCTTATTTCTTTTATTGATTACATGTTAAAGTGAAAGTATTTTTGATATATTGAGTTAAGTAAGATACATTATCAAAATTAATTTCACCTGTCTTTATTTTTTTTAAGGGAGATTTTTGCCATAGGGCATGTGCGCTCACCAGAGAAACAGAAAGCAAGAAATCACCCCCCAGGGAGGATGGCCACACTGTAATCTCTTCTCCTCCATTCTCTTGAGATCTTGGGCACACACGCACATGCACCCAGCACGAGGTTTAAGCCACACGAACCATGGTTATCTTTTTGGGAGTCTGGTGATGTAACCATTATGCCATCACCCATCACCTATTTTTCTTTTTCTTTTTCTTTTTTTTTTTTTTTTTGATAGATTTTTGCTATAGGGCTTACATGCTTGTCAGAGAGAAAGACAAAAAGTGAGAAATCACCCACCCGGGGAGATGGTCACGCCACAATCCCTTCTCCATTTTCCTCCTAGGATAATGGGCACATGTACAAACTCCTGGCGTGAGTTTTAAGCTGCCAGTCTGAGACCTGAACCAGTCCCACTGTCCACTATGTGGGAGTCCAGCTGTAACCATTACACCATCTGCTGGTCTTTTTTTTTTTTTTTTTTGATAGGGCACTTTTGGGAGGGGGGGGGGGCACTTGTGGTAGCTGGAGAGAGACAGTGAGGGGGAAAGTGAGAAATCACTCTCCAGGGGGATGGCCACGCCATATCACTTCTCCATTCTCCTCTCAGGATTTTGGGCACATATGTACACGTACCTGGTGTGTTTCAAGCCACCAGGTCCAGGACTTGAACCATAATTGACCATGTAGGAGTCCAGCACCTTAACCACCATGCCACCTCCCTCTTTTTTCTTTTTTCAGTGTGGTTACTCAAACCTTCAAAATTATGTTTATGGCTCATGCTGTATTTCTACTGGACAGCACTGTTCTAGAATGAGCCAATCCAGTTTGTTGATACCCTGACGGAAACCTCATCTCCTTGGGAGACCTTTCGGCAGCTCCGTAGACAAAGCAAGTTCCTTCTAGCCTCTGCTGTTTAGGTTTGCTGTTCCCTCTGCCTGGACCACTTTCCTAATCACTCCTGTTCCTCATTGTTGTCTCAGCCTTCCCTGACCTCCTGTCCAAAAGGCACCATCCTGGGGGCCTCTCTCTCCCATTTAGCTGCCTTATTTGCTTATGACACGCCTCACTATGTGCAATTATATCATCTTTGCATTTGCTACTTGTTCATTTTCTGTCTTTATGAGAATATTAGCACCATGCCTGTTCACCTCTGTATCATCAGTACCCAGCACTGCCTCTGGGAGAGCAGGCAGGCATTAGTTAATAGTCCTGATTCTCAGAAGACACTCCAGATGCCAGCTTGTGAGTTTACTTTGAGAAGTGTACCTTCGAGTGAATGGGGGTTGGTCTGGCCAGGGCAGACTCCAGCACTTGCCAGCCTCTGGGCTGAACTCTGAGGGATGTGGAATCAGCGCACTTGGTGCTGAGTCTTGTGTGAGAGCCTCAGCGCTAACCCCTGCCATGTCTGTCTCACAGGGAAGTTGGGGGTTCATTCATTGATCCATCCACTAGGTAGTCACTGGGCACCTCCACGTGGCCTGCCCGTTCACACAGGTCTGGTGGGCTCTCTGCCTTTGGACAGTGCTAGTCTGTGCCCTGCACATTTGCCCCTTTAGGCCTTATGTTTCTCTGCTTCTGTCATTTAGTTTTATGCTTTTGAATTGACATTTGGGGATGGGAAAGATATGGAAGTCATCAAATTTTACAGCCCTGAGAGCCTTTCTTTTTTTTTTTTTTTTTAAATTTGCTGTAGAGTCCATGTGCTTACTGGAGAGAGAGAAAAAAGTGAGAAAACACCCCTGTTGTGAGGGGAATGGCCATGTCACAATCCCTTCTCTTCCATTCTCTTCTCTGGATTTGGGGTATGTATGCATACCTACCTGGTATGTTTTCCAAGCTGCAGTGTCTGGGACTTTGAACCATGCAGTTGACCCCGTGCTGGCCCACCATTTAGTCTTTCTTTAAAAAAAAAAAAAAAAAAATTGGATTTATTCAACTTAGACCAGGAGGTGGGATGGTCCATTAAGGCACCAGATCCCACATAGCTGACTCTACAGTTTGAATCCCAGACCTGGTGGCTTGAAAAACACATTGGGTGCCATGTGCATGTGTGGCCAAAGTCCCAAGAGGAGAATGGAGGAGAAGGGCGTACAGTGTGGCCATCTCCCCTAGGGGTGGCTTCTCTCTTCCCCCTTCTCTCTCTGCAAGCGCACACGCCCCACGACAACTACAGTTCAAATCCTAGACCTGGTGGCTTAAAACACACCAGGTGTGTGTGTGTGTGTGTGTGTGCGCTCAAAATCCTGAGAGGAGAATGGAAAAGGGATATGGATGGCCATCCCCCTGGGGAGTGATTTCTCACTTCCTCACTTTCCCCCTCACTTTCTCTTTTCAGCTACCACAAGTGCCCTATGGGGAAAAAAATTTAAAAGTTTTGTGTGTGTGTGTGTGTGTGTGTGTGTGTGTGTGTGTATTTAATTCATTCAACACAAGTCAGCAGGTTTGAGTCATTTACATTGATCAGACCAGACAGACAAG